CCGTCCAGCGGCCGGCAGCGCTCAGCCGAGTCGTTCCCACGGTCTGGCGGCCAGCTGGGTGGGGGCGGGGTGGGGAGTGGGGCGGCCGATGTCCAGCCGCTTCTCCACGGGCAGGTGCTGCCACCTGCGCAGTAGTTCCACTGGCGGCCGCCAGGCCCGTGTGCGGGCCGTGCGCGGTAGTTCCGCCAGCGGCCGACAGAGGTCGCGCGCGTCGTGTCTAACCTGACGAAGCTACAAAAAGTTAGATAACTTTAATAAGAGGGACGGTAAAGCCACAATTCCAACGCTGAATGTCGGGCAAAAGCAAAGGGATCCAACACAGCCATCTGTATTTACTGTATTTACCCTTTTCAGTCAGCGATAAGCCCCAGCAATCGCACCGCTGCAAAACTCGCAAGCTGTTCACCGTGCAGGGTATTGCATTATAACCACCCACCGGCTCCCTCAACGTATGTGTAATCGCTTAATAGGTAGGACGCGAAAAGCAAGTGAGAAATGATTTCTCGGAAAAGTGAGATACGGCCAGAAATGAGTGTGGGTCCCTCCGTTCTGAAGATTCTGATCGACGCCGATTGAAATAATTCGCCGTGCATATCTCGGCTTATTGACGACCGATTGACACGGGATAAACACCGATCGATACCAAATGGCTCTGTGGGGGGGGGGGGAGTAGAGTGGCAAGTTTTCCTACCCGACGAACCCGGAATTATCCCGAGGGGGTAGTTGTGGGAGTAGAGTCGGGGGAACGGGGGGGGCGAGTGCAAGTACCAAGTACTTTCGCAAGTACCAAGCAAGTACCAAGTACTTTTACAAGTACCAAGCAAGTACCAAGTACTTATGGAAATACCAAGCAAGTACCAAGTACTTTGGCAAATACCGAGTACTTATGCAAATACCAAGCAAGTACCAAGTACTTTGGCAAGTACCGAGTACTTTGGCAAGTACCAAGCAAGTACTTAGTACTTTTGCAAGTTCAGCAAGTTTTTCGCCAATATCGAAGCTTCTAGACGTCCGATCGTCACCGGAAAAACACCATTCGATCCCAAATTTTCTCCCGAATCTTTTTATGGCCAAAGCGACGCGGAGCGAGCCAAGATATCTTGTTTGTAAAAATGAATTGGAAGTAACCGGGCTTCTATATTTCCTTCGTTATATATTTATTGCAAGTAGGTAATCCAGTCTCAGTCGTAATGAGAAAGATCCCAATGCATAACTGGAACTACTCTAAAGCACAAGGGAAGGAATACGGCAGTGCTGAGCAATGAAAATCAGAACTGAAATTAACTTGACGCGAATTTTTCCACGCAATTCGTTTTGCGTACGACCACATCCGGTTGAATGATGAATCCACTTTTATCACGAAGTCATCATACAGCACACACCTCAAATGTGTGCTCAAAAGGTGAGACCACACACAAGCCGTTATTTGATCCCAGTTCGACCTCGGATTTTACGGTCTAACTGAACTTGGGAAATATTATAAGAGCATTACGGATTTGTTTTCTTCTTCAAAGTTTTGTTTATTTCCTGTAATTATCTTGACATTGTCCAATGATACCTTGAACCACTTTTAACCCTCGCCGGCCGAGGGGGGAGTGCCTCCCCCCCCCCCCCTCCTAGGGTTTTTTTTCGCGATAGCTCCAAACGCACTAGCGATAGAGAGCTGAAACCTGGCATACCTGACCTTTGATTCAAGCCGGATCTTTTGACATCAACCGCATTTTCGGGTCAGGTCAGGTCACTGACCTATGACGTCATAAGTGAACCTCTGCTTGGTCTTCAGATGTCGCAAATTCGCAACGCCCTGACACTGCCAGAGGAGCTTTCACAAGGAAATGAAACTTGCAGGATCTAGTATCCATTACGAGTCTCACAACTTGTATATCTCGGATTTTTCCTAAAGGTCATATGAGGTCAGGTCATTTTCGTGACCTCACCATTATAAGTCAATGGGGAAAAATGTAAACTGCTATTCTGGCGCCGGGAACGATCTCCAACTATCTCAAGCACACAGAATCGTGATTTGATGCACTCCTTGCAAGGTTAGATGCGTCACTTTTGCAATGTTGACCTTGCGTGACGTCATTTATGACGTCATCAAGATCATGCTAGTTTTTCGTCAATAGCTCCCGATCAAATTGAGCTAGCGAGTCGGGAAAGCCATCAATGGACTCCGGAAGACCTGCCGAATCGAATGATATGCGACATGACCTCTTTCGACCAACTTCGTGACCTAGGGGCGCTGACCTGACCTTGACCTGAGGTCAACACCCCAAGTTGACCTGACCCAAACAAAAAGTAAAAACATTTGACGCGCCTGAGCGAGGCGAACACGATGCTGCCAAAATCGGCGCTCTGCGGCCGTTTTATTGCGAAGTTATTCACCAAAAACTGAACCATACCTTGGGGCACTTGACCTGACCTCAGAGATCACCGGTTGACCTAGGACCTTAAAATCGGGCACCAATCTCTGCGTCTCGTAACGGCGCACACGCTCGTTTTTTTCCGCGACGCGCTAGCTCTACCAGGGGCGAAACGGCGATGGGGGGGGGTCGTACCCGCCCCCCCCCCCTCGGCTGGCGCGCATGTAGAAAACCAATAGGTCCGGCGAGGGTTAAAACATTGTCCCAATGGTACGACTGGTTGGGTAATTTTAGCCGGTCTTCTCATAGAAATTCTTGTTCTTACTTATCGCATCGCGCTTCGTTGAATCTTATTGCATTGTGGTTACTTGAGTTTTCTCTTCCCAGAATCGCTCATGACCTATCCCGAACTATCTCTCGGGATTAATTGCATCCACTTCCGCGTCTCGGTTCCTTGTGCATATCCATCAGCTCACGCCATGCGAGTTTCGATCAGTGAGTGTCGAAGTCACTAGGTATAACTGGCTCGAACGTATGAAAATTGAAAATGACATCTGATGAGCAGTGAGCACATAGCTTTCGACCACACTTCAGTTTTGGTGCCTTCGTAACATGTTACGAAGCTGTCACTTGTCAGTGGTGGTCGTCACCTACTATGAATACCCGGCAGGAGGTGATCTTTACAGTCCCGTAACTAACTGTTTGCCCGATTTGTAAAGCTCAATTTGTGCCTTATGCCCTGTTGACATGGGTGGAGAACCTGCCCCGGCCACCCCGGCCGTGGCCGGGGTAACTTTCAGCCTACCCCGGCGCGGCCGGGGTAACTTTTCTACTCTTGTAAATCCTAAAAGCTGTCTCCATACGAGAAAAGAAAACTCACGCTCTTCGAATGTTGACTTCCATGGGCGTAATATTGCAAATCAGGTAGGGATTTACCATTTACTTAACTTGCCATTATCTCCAACCCTAAGACCCGCGTGTGGTCGCCAATGCCAAGATTGCTCTCACATCCTGTTCAGTTTCGAAATTTTGGCGCGCCTTCGGCGCACTTTTTCAAAACTACTGTTTGACCTCATTGCCTTCAACTGACCTGCCACCAACCGCAACCACACCCGTTTATGAGCGTACCCGTCAGGGTGCTCATAAACACCGAGCGGCCATCATGCTTCGAACTCGGGCTGTTGTAACCGGGCCGCGTGCTCTCGCCACGCGGAATCCAACGCTCTAGCAACTGAGCTACGAGACCGGGACCGGTCGATATTCCTGGATCGACTCCCTGTTTGTATTATAAGAGCCGTCCAACATTGAAAAAGGCTACGCCCGTGGATGTCAGCGACCTATTTTAGTGCTTTGCTTGGTTCGATCTGTCAATTTCTCTGTAAAGCTTCTACTATGGTGAGTTGTCTTTTTGTAGCTATTTTGAGACACAACAAAAAGCTGAAAACGCAACATTTAGGTACTCAAAATGGCATATGGTTTGGTTTGGGTTCGGTGTGAAATTGGAAGTTTAAGTAAAAAGAAATAATAATTTAAAAGGAAATTGCCTTTTCGATCATTCCAAAAAACTTATGAATAATACGGTGTCGGATACAACGCTCATCCTTGAGCAAACACAGCATCCTATTCCATGCGTCAGAATAGGGGTTTGATGATGACCGTTGAGAACAACGTGAGTATATCGTCTTCCCGCGACTATCGGTCGCCGGCCGGGGTAACTTTTTCAAACATTCTCCACCCATGCCTGTTGATAGCGTTCTTTGGGTGTTTTCGTCTCTTTGATACCATGAGGTCAGCATTTTGACAGGGGCAGAATGTGCTTGTACAAGCTGAGCGGATGCGTTCGGCTGGGTTCTCAAGCGCGGCGTGAATGCACCAAACATTTCTGAATTGCGCTAGTGGCAGTCGTTCAGCGTAGTTAGTCGCCACAGTCAGTCGCACCACTGTGCTTCAACGGCCGCGGTGAAAAGTTCAAGGTCTGTCGCGCGTCGTGTGCCGGAGCTGGTGTGGGCACTGGGCACTTCCCGACGTCGGGCTGCCAGTGACTAATTTCGCCCCGCCGTCTGACCTTTTTGGCCCGGAGCTATTCACAAAATCAGTCCGTGACATTGCCTGGTAGGCGCCAGTTATATCCCAGGGTCTTTAGAAATACACACGAAAATCGCGCTAATGGCCCGCTCTCATGCTTGGCAGTCTGTTTTCACGTCACCTGTTCGAAGGGCTGATCAGAAAGGTCAGCGGGCTCCGTTAATGTGAAGGTGAATGACGCCACTCGTGCTTGACCAGCGAGGAGGTATGACTGCAATGTGCTGTTATAGTTTCATTGCGACTCCTGCGGGGGTGTGGTAAGAGTATGTTTCAGTTTTTAGTTGTTAAGGAGGAAAACGGTAACTGAGGGATGAAATGCAACTTTCTTATGTTTGGATTCACTATTTTCAAGAATGTTACATAATATTTCAAATAACCGTACGGAAGCCGGAAAATAAAATCGTAGGCATGCAAAGCTTATCGCGTGTGATTGTGTTGTAGGTATTTCTAAAACATTTTCGGCCTGCCATATTTCTTGTGTAGCTAAGTTGTATCGTAAGAATTGTGAAATTCTGTCGATCTACTATGGACTCTTGGTGAAACTAGTACCACTCGTTGCAGAAGCCACATGCTATATTTCTCATTCTTTGCCGCTCCAGCATCTCCTTAGTTTGGCATTGTTATGATATATAGGAATGCACAAACAGTCCAATAAATACCTTGTTGATATTCACGCGAAACACGGATACTCAGATCATGCTTGGTACAGTACCCGTAGACAAGTGCTCCACGTGATATGCATCGCCTCACTTTCGTTACACTGCTCTCTCAGCTCAAGTGAGGCACTTGGATTGCATTTTCCCTCCCAATTGTCAAATCGGTGGGCGCCTGTCCGCCTAACAGCCATGTAAAACTCGGCAGCAACACTCAACAAGGTGCCAGTACAACTAGCATTCCAGCTCATCAGAAACAAACTAAAAACGACACAGCGCTACAACTCTAAACACAGTCAAAAAATAAATATAAAGATGATATAATAAGTTAACATGACCGCAAACCATCCGCGAAATAATCGGTAACCATTCACCACATATATACCAATAAATTACATCCTCTCGCGGGTACACATATGACACATTTATCACGTCAAAGTCGATGTTCTATTATGACACGTCGGGTGTTGTGACTACGGCTGGCGGCCATCTTACGCAGACCCGGCTGCCTGGCCCCTATACACAGAAACTCTGAACAATGACTAGGCGTCGCTGTCGGGCATCGCATCCTGAAGCTGCCGTCCTCCTGGCCCTGATGTGAGCGTCTGGTGTCAGAGGTGGCGGTGTGGACGCAGCAGGTCACTGCGCCCGTCCGAGGACGGTCTCATTTTCGGCCGCTCAGACGGCGGATTTGCTCGTCCAGTTTATCGGCCTGGTCCTCTATGACGAGCGCCTGCAGGCAGCCCTTGAAGTACTCCGTGGTGAAGCACTCAGACCTGTCGGCACGGAGGTCATCCGTGTCAATATTGCACAATGCTATGCACGGGAGTTTTCAGCTTTGTAAATTTGCAAGGTCAATGAGCCTTACTTGAGAGCAATTTCGGAAACTGCGTTCAATGAACGGCCATAATCAACTAAGTCGAAAAAGTTCGTGAAGTATGATGTATTATATACATTACGATTTAACATGCACTCACATTTTATTAAATAAGCACATAATACAGCTTGCGGCGTGCACGAAAGGAAGAAGGTGTGTATAGAGTTCATGACGGATAATCGTGAATAATCCCACGCGACTTGTTATGCACAGTAGCATGTCTTCGTTAACTTTTTTACCGGCCTACGAGGCTGCTTCAGTACGTCTTTGTTGGCGGTGCTCCCATAGCACTTATTTTCTGGTTAAAACCAGCTTCGGGCTACCAACTGGCAACTGCTAAGTTTCCTTGCCGCCCTAGCAATCGACATACGATTAGCTCGTGAAAAGCTCGCTTGCGTGTGATGTTGAAAAGCTGGACTGATTTTGTCGACTCACGATGACCCCTCTCCGTGAGAATGAAAACGTCGATCTACTTGATAAACAATATCGACTTTTTATAGCCGGTGGAACACCCAGCCGAATTTTCCTCTGATTCAAGTGGCGTGCAGTCTCTACACAGTTACCAACTTGGACCGATCTTTGAGTACGGCCATCGAGATCCGGTTCCGCTCGCCATTGTCTTAGTATCTCACGAGGCCTCTCCCAAATGCACCTGGCCCAGTCACGCTAGTGGACGGCAGCTCGCTCTTTGGGTACAGGCGAAATTTCGCCGAATGGTTGTCGGTGCTCCCTGAATCAGGACTGGCAACTGTTAGACATTTTCGTCATAAATTCCTGAACGACCTCATGAAACGGCCCGCTGTCAAGTTTGGGCGCTTCTGGGAACTCCCGACGTGACTCATCTGTGACGACGGTGCCGGCGCTCTCGGCGATCATCATGCTGATTAGTGGCGCTGCATATCATCATCAGAGAGCCGGGTGCCAGTGTTTGTACAGCATGCGCCCCTCGACCCCGCCGGCAGACGGCTCTCCGTCGCCTGTCGCCTTCGATGACATCACGTCCGACGTGGGGCGTTGCGTCGCCCCTGGCGCGATGTCGTCGCGTGACTACGACGTAACGCTAGCTGCGTCTCGGCACAGGCGCATCAGGAAGATATTTTGGGGAAGAGCGGAGGTGCGACGCCCTTCCCGGAGCTGGTGCCGGAGCGGGGAATTTCCAGTGGGCCACGCGCTCTCCTCTCAACGGGAGCTCCAGGATGTGCATTTAGTGGGTCCGGCACGTTCCTCCTACTGCTCGGCGCCTTACTGGCGCGTGGCAGACCGCTGCGCCCCGCATCCGCACTGCGTGGGGTCTGATTCAGATTTGTGCCCTTTCCAGACTTAGTCACTTAGAAGTGGAAGGGGCGCGATGGTTTTTCGCGGTACTTGCAATCTTGTAGCGCCATACATACATTTGTGACGCCATGGTGCATGAAGAAAATAAACATGCCGCGGGCACCGCGAACCGCATGTCGTGCCCGGGCCCCTTGATGAACTGCTTTCGGAGTCCGAAGAGCGGTTCTGGGTTACACCTCTGGAACCCTGGGTTTCACCGCCTGCTGACGCGAATGGAGCAAAGCGTCACTCTGGCACGTGCCGGGCGCCGAGTGTGCCCGAAGGCACGCGCCAGAATGCTGGGGGCATGGTAAAGCCCTATACGGTCTCGGTGCTGGGCTCTTGTGGTCACGTTTTGACGGCTGGGGATTGCGGTCATGGGGATAATCCAGGCGCAGAGAGTTGGTGTGGACAGTGGGGATGGGTTGGTGTGTGATACGTGCAACTGGTGTGTACGTGCATCGCTCGCATGAGCTGTTGCTAAAATGATGAATGGGTGATGTCAAGCGTGGGCAATAGCACACGGTGTGTCACTGTATGTAAGGTAATCATTTCGAATCAGTTGAAGGCATGTCAGCGTTCTATATTTGGCCGTGGCTTGTGTTCTTTCGCCACATATTAAAATGTAGGCCTCAAACAGTTTATGTTGGCACCATTTGGCAATGTTTGGCTGCAGGAATAACCACGCATTTTACTCGGCGTCGTCGTATTTGTCTGTTATGTATAGAAAAGACCAGATTTTGAGGTAGTCCAGGAGTCCAGGGCTTTAAATTCCACTCGCATCTCCCAACTATCAAACATTTTGCCACTAAGCCAGACTTCCCCTCGGCTCATTTCTTCCCGCTATTTATTATTTTACCCTGGTTACCTATGGATTATGGCATCGTTGTAACATACTTGACCGTGCTTCTTGTTGTTCCGATCCTTGCCTTTATAATGCATGATCCGTTGTTACTATTAGTCCTCCTGATCTGAAGGTTAGTTCTATTATCGCCGCTGACCTGACCTTGACGTGGTCGTTTGACCTGCCCTCACCTGGATGGCGCCTGGTCAGACGAAGGAGTTGCCCCGGAGGCTCTGAATCCACCGACTGTAGTCGGCCTCATGTTCGGTGAGCAGCAGCGCTTGCACACACCCGCGGAAGTAGCGTGATCCGAAACAATCCTGGCTGCGCAGCACAGACACAGTGGCTCGTGCTAGACGCGATGGACAGGCTCGAGTGGAGTAGAGACCGACCAGGCGAGGGGCACACACACACGCACATACAGACAGCCGACACCCGAACTGACCGCAACCACGATAAACAGCAGCAACAAAAACGACAGGCGAGCGCTGTCAGTGGTGTGAGCAAAACAAAAACGGAAATGCAAATCAAGTACACACGTTTGCTGCCACAAAAGCCAGTCACCAGGAATAACAAGCATGCCATCTATCCCATGGTTACATTTAAAGTGAGAGAGCTATGTACACTTTGAAATAAGTATTGTTCACACAAAAAAGTAAAACAGAAATGAAAATAACAGAACTCTTTCGTGACATTGCGAAATGCAGTGCCATTTGCGACAACTCATCCTGCTTGCATAACTAAAAATAGAGGCGGATCTCGACGGAAACTTGTCGACGCGGTAGCGGATTTAATCTCTGAGCTCAGAATTCCAACGGCCTTCAAAAGCACCCGTTTTTCCATGATGCATTCTCCCAGCGAAAAGTTCCGCCACCGTGCGCCTCAAGTTTCCGTCGCGAGTCCCCGCACCATCGGTGACGGGATCGTCTGCGCCCACTCACCGGCAGAGCCCGTGCAGCTCCGGCTCCTTATAGAGCTCGAAACAGTCGCGGCAGATGGTGTTGAGCCGGGCGTAGACGGACTTGTTGAACACACCGCGACACTCGATGTCCCTGTAGGATGAGGAGCGCCGGTCGCGCAACATCGGGTGCGCCACGCCGGTCGGCAGTAGCGCGAGGTTGATGCCAACCACGATCAGCAGAAGGCCGAGAAGGTAGCGCACCACGGCTGGGCTCATCCTCACCTGCCGGGAAAGAATGAGGAGGAGGTGTAAAAGACTCGCCATCCCGAAGTCAGTAGGCGGAAACTGCGAGTGAGGAGCGAGGATCATGGCATTTTGATATCATGTCATCGCTAAGATTCGGCGTAGGTGGCGAAGCATAAGATGTAAGCATCAGATGTTTTCCTTGGAGTACTAGGGAGTCCCCCGTGGCTAAGCTGAGATGCTCCAGGGAAATGTCTTTGAATTGTAATGAGCAGTCTTCCTGAAATGTGACTTAGGATTGGATAAGCAGGGCACTTTAAAGACATTGATCTGGATTTCATGGTGATGACTCCTACACTTGTTGGACTAGTTTTCCATCCTGTTAATACTGGCGGCTGCCCTAGTTTCTTCGTTGCTTCGACGCCATTGCGCCGTTATAGCAAGCCCACTACGACTGGTTCAGGCTGTCGGTTAATTGTTTCACGGCAACTCTTTGCGCATAAACTCTATTCTTGTATCCGTATGGTCGTTTTGGAGGCTCAATCACACCGATACATGACAAATGCCAGACTTTGACATGCTGCAGATTGCGTCACCGCCATGCATGGTCATGACGCGCAAGGCGCTACGTTTTGTGTGTCGCGGTAGACAACAAGCCTACCCAAACAGTGCAACGCCCTCTGAATGTGGCATACCGAGGTCGTCGTCCTCCGTTAGGTCGTCGAACCCGACACAGGTTGTCGGTCGTCGAACTCGACGAACCTGCGTCGAATATGACGGAGGGAGATTCGGGCCGCCGTAACTGGACAGCGGGGCCAATTGATGGCTGCCGATGCGGCGGGTGCGTGGGCGAGCAATCCACTCACCAGCACTGGCGGGCCTGCCGACCGCTGTCTGACGCCACTGCGCCGTGCAACCGCCGCCGATTGAGGCCGCGCGGGGGCGTCGGGCGCTCCTGGTCACTCTGTTGTGCCCCAGGGCTTTGACCTGTGATGTCCCATGGTGGGAGTCCGGCACTTCTGGCCACTTGTGTTGTTACCCCAGGGCTTTGACCTGTCGGATTTGGCGCCCCAGGGTTGCTGAACTCACAGCGCCCGAGACCAAATGCTATATCCTTTGCCTTAGCAGCTTTGCCATTTGAGCTCCAGAAGTTTCGGAAGCATCTGCTTGGATTTGGTTCGCGGGTGACTTTTTGAGTGGTTGGTGCCTGAGCCTTGTTTGTATGAGCATGAGCGACCGATACTCATCCTAAGCTCTTTGCTGTTGATGGCCCCTACGACAACCCCGTGACCCTGACCTGGCCTTGTCCCGCCCTCGCTCTGGGTTGTCCCGATTTCACCTAACGGCGGAATGAGCTGTTTTGGTGTGTTTTGCCCATTCCAGTGATTCGGCCCCTCGTTGATGCGATCAGTAATTGTTCGATGACCCGCATGATTTATCCGTTATACGAGCCGACCCGCCGGCCACCAGCGGTTCCACAGGCTGCGTCACTCATTCGTCGTTTGTACAGTCAGACATGCAGTTTACGTCATCAGTCACCCACATCTGGGAACTGCGCTCTATTGGTCTCCTGTAGAAGGGGTTCGCATAGGTGGAAAAATCGGCGGCGTTCCTTGCAGCGCGCCGGGGTGTCACGCGGTCGGGTCGTGTTACAGTGAGGTGCGGTAATTTTGGCATCTCTGGAAGGGGACCCGACGTCGCCAGTGCCGTGCCGGTAATGGCTGCCGGTTGACGGCGTTTCCGTGGCCTAAGTGGCTGCTGCTGGGCCGATATGACCGTGCAGCCCCCCGGGCGATATATATGGAGCCGGCGTGGTCACCCGACTCGGTGTCACGATAGAGGAGGAAATCCGATCGCCGTAAGTTAGTGGTCAGTGGGCATTTCCCGTCCACTGAACTCGAAACTGTCACAGAAATGGGCCCGCACGCCTGGTGACGCCCCGTTGCGGCCGGTGGGGAGGAGAAGGCACGGCGGAAGTGAAGAATAATCCCAAGAGGTGGAGCGGTGGCAGTGTCACCGGAAACAATTTTGGTTGGCCCTACGCGTGCCTAAATGGACATTTGTCTCGTTTTCTGGCTTCCAATCAGTAGGTACACCTTCAGCAATTTAATAAAATTCATGAACATAAACATCCCTTAGTTAGGAAGGCGTTCATTCTCGCACACCGATGTGTCGTTTAATTGTCCTCGTCATCGATCTGAATTTCTTAAATATCACATCATTAATTATTAATTAAATAAATTACTCGTAAATATCCCATGTGGCCTATTTCTGGCCACGTTCGATGGGTAATTGACGGCAGTCAGGGGCCAAATGATTGTTGTTTCGTCTGTCTTGGTCTGCGGCTACGACGGTCTGAAATCTGTCACATCGGTCATTGACCTGTGCCGTTAGCTAATTTACTGCCGTGATTGCAACAAGCCAACACGGTGTGCTGGTGATTAAACATCTTGAACGGTACGATGCGTATAAGGTGTGATGCGTACATATTGCGTATAAACCTCTACGATGCGTGCCTTTTATTAGCTTATATGGCAAATTAACCACTATAATGGGCGGCATTGCTCTCTGAACTGTCAATGACCGACCTACAGCTTTCTGAAGCTGCCAATCCTTTGCGTTTTATACGTTTCGCCTTGTTGCAGATCGTGTGGCTCCAATGAACCACCGGGCAACACCGTCCGCATGTTGTGCCCTCAGTAACCATGCAGCCAGCGGTGGATATGGGCGCCTCTTGGCGCTCGGTGCTGGCGACACCAAGTTTAAGCACTGCACAGGCTAATTTACTGTTCTGACGATGCAAAGGTAGTATTTGGATTTTTAAAAGTGACAGCGGGTAACCTTGGCCGGCATAAGCACCGAATGGCATGATATGCCGAGGTCGCGCCGGGTCAACGGGCCACCGAGCGACCCCTCGCCGGCCGGAACCATTTATACTCGGGGCACTTGAGTTTAACCTTGCCCTTTGGAAACTATGTGGCGCGGCTAATTTTAAAATCAGTGCCACTCGGCGTACACGTATCGGTAGAAAGCGATCGCGGTAACGGGAGCAGTGATCCCAAATTGATCGGCTTTTGGAGGAGACAGTGGAGCGGCTTACCCAGCTTATATGCATACTAGATAAAATATTCGGCAAGATTACTAGAACATATTTGATATTCGATATTCTATATATCGATTGTATCAAACATATCGATATATAGAAGATATTCGGTTGCAACCCTCTGTTGTGATATGCTGGTTTGATTTTCTTCCAAATATAATTATCCAAGTGAGCCAAACCGTTCTCTCCTGATCGTAAATTTGTATAAAAGATAACGATGTTGACTTTTCGCGGTTTTACACGTTCACCCGCGCTCTATTGCATTGGGGAGTGCCTTCAAAGTGCACTGGGTTGGGCTGGTCAGCTCCTGTGGTTGTGTAGTGCTGTACACACTGTACACACATGTCTGCAAATAGCGCTCCAGTTCTGCTCCTCATCGGAACGAAACATAACTGATGGTCAGACAAGAAAAGCGAACATGCATATGGGCGTTGCTGAGCTCCATAGTAAAACGGCTTCCGCAAGTCGAGCGATATGAATGAAGGCCATTTACGAAATATATTTTTATTTTTATTTTTATTATTTTTTAATTTTTATGGATTTCAACGGTGATTAATGACGAACTACCGGATGTTAAGAAGGAGTTAAGTGGGGTAGGAATTCATGAATGAATGGTTTCTCTCACACGCTCAGACTGCTTTTACAAGCCGAATAAAGAGTGCATGTTCTGACATAGGTCATGTTCTTGTCCGGTGTAGCTGTTTTGAGTCCTGCCTTAGCTGTTTAACACTCTGTCGATTTCCACGCTGTGGTAATCGGACACCACATTGTCGCGCTATGACGATGGATTGGAGACTTTAATGACACACAAGCCGCACAGGGTATTCCGGCCATGTTGGACTTGATTTGGAAAAGATCGGCGACAAATCAACGTTGAGTAAGCGTTGATGCCAATGCCATTTAAAAGGAACTTGAGGGGAGTTTAGCACGCGTAACTTTGGCAGTGAGAAGGACAACGACTAAATGCTCGCTCAGCGAAAGAACTTGGTGCTTCTACACCAAGGAAGTGTTTTATTTGCGATGCGTTTTAAGAAGGGTTGCATAGGAATCACTGTTTGTTCGGTGATGCTGCCTGTGGTCGATGTTTGCCCCCCCCCCCCAAAAAAACCGTTAGCACTTCCAACATCTAGCGCATGGTTGCGTTGTGCTAAATGACAGTTATAACTGTCATTTAGCACAATGACAGCACAATGACAGGGCGAGTGCGCGCGTATACGCGCGCACTCGCCCACCCCTGATACCTTCCCTGACTAGCAATGCTTTTGATATCTTAGATGATAAGATGCCATTTAGCTATCCGTGAGATAGCAAAATATAATGAAATTACGCCATCTGACACGTGACACCAAGACATGCGAGATATCACGATTAACACCTACCCAAGGCCCACCTACCCATTGATACCCACTACCCAGCCCGGCCGCGCGGGCTCATCTCACCTTCATTGTGATTGATGTGACGGACGGGCGCTCCGCGGCTGTTCAATGACGTCTCCGGGAGTCTGGCCGCTCTGCTGCCGCGACTGCCAAAACCCGCTGACTGGCCGGTCTGCAGCTCGCGCGCTCTATGTCGATGGACGGCTGTCGGTGGGCGTGTGGACGGCGCCAATCAGGCGCGACGGTGCGCCACTAGGCCACGCCCCGCCCGGCGTCCCCCCGCCTCCCGCCTGGCGCCCGTCTGGACTCGTGCCGCCCGCCCAATCGAGGGGTAATCCCAGGAGTTTTTACCCACGTCAGCGGGCTGGCGCGCCCGGAATGTTTTGAAAGCGACGCGAGAATCTGGGCTTCCTGGAGAGCTGCGACGGACACTTGCTGAACTAATTTAAAGGTGGCTTCTCGTTTTGTGCGTCTTGCTTATTTATATGTATTTTGGTATTTGGTTGCTAAATGTGCTTTAATTTGGCCAATCAACCTGGATTTAACGAACTCCATTCGATAAGTAATTCGACTGGTGACTTCGTTTGTTATCACTTCCTTTTACTTTTATCAATTCCTTTTTTTACTTTTCGCGTCAGAGTGGAATGCTGAGTGTTATTTATTATTGTTTTGTGACCCATATAGGTATTGTTTGTGAATTTGTTGGCCTGAACTCTGCTTTTGAAAGTATCGAATAGGTATACAATATACAAGATTCAATTGCAGGCTAGAATTTTCTAGGTTGATTTCGCTAAATCTGACTTCAAAGAGCCAAGATGAAAATTTTTGAGCCCCGAAAGTGATAGAAAGAATGGGAACTGAAAATAAATGCAATTTAACGCCAAAAATAGTGTATCCAAACTGTGACAGATGACCACAAATTTTTGCGTATCTCGCTTTTTTAGAGATTCCATGCGCAATTCTACCTTCTGCATCCCTTAGTTACCTAGCTCTTGTTCCTTGCGGACCTACGAATGTTCCTTTTCTAGTGTGCGTCGTGTTCAAAGGTCTCAGCCAATATCGCCTTTTTTATATAGTCATGATTTTTTTTCAACGGGTTGAACGTTCAAGATAGCGACATTCACAGACTGGTACGTCACAGTTTCCTGCACTAGCATCTTTTAAAGGAACGTATCAATAGAGCAAAGCGCCAATGCGTCCTCTGCTTGCAGTACGTATTGGGTGTTGACAAATATGTGTGGTCGGCATGACTGTCGGCTCATCTAGAAGTCGTTTTTTTGGCATATTTGGCAGAAGCATGCGGCCATTTGAAAAAGGATATATGATATACCGGCAATACAAAACACGACGGTGTCAAATCAATTTTAAAGATGCCACTTCACACGCGCACTCGATCAAACACATAGTAAAGGCTAACACAGGTTTATTAGCGATCTGGTTTATTTGATATATCAGTTATCGTTCGGTGCTCAAATGATGGTTCCAATTCTTTGTTGAAATGCGCTCCAAGAGCTGAAGGCGGATGCAACTAATGATATAGGTTGGATTTTCCTGGCCGCCTCCTTCACCGCACTTATCCGCTCGATGGCGATGTGCTTAGAGTCGCCCTTATCCGTGTGAAGGATCTCTACCTTGTGATTTTACTGCACTTTTGGACTTTAGAGCTGGCCTAGTGAGGTGGTTTATGATGTAGCATCTGTATGTATGTGATATTTCACGTGATGTAGATGTAGCATCACATATTAATTATGTGTCCAAAAAAAACGGTGAACGATTGACAACTCTACACTGAGTGTAGAGTTGTCAATCGTTCACCGTTTTTTTTTTTTTTGGCATACCGATACCAAACCGATAGGTACCAATTAGGTATTCGGTATTTCAATCCTAATGTATTTTGGTATTTTGTTGGTATTACGAGTCTTTCTTATGTATAAGAGGTTGTGACTTTGGTAAAAAGTTGGTATTTCGCTGATATTCCCAAGTTTGTTTGGTTTCGGTATTTCGTGGGTATTTCCCCATGATTTTGTCTGGTATTTGGTTTGGTATCGGTATCCCGATTTTCTGTAATTGACATCACTACTCCAGTGATGTGTGGGTGGCGTTAAATTCACGCTGCTAATGGTCTCATTCGTTTCGTTTTCGCGCGACATCGCTTGTTCGTAGTGCGTCGCTAGAGCTTCATCGTGTACGTGAATATCAATGAATAAAAATGAATATCATGCCATGTCACTTGCACCGTGGTTTTCGAAGTACGCATGCCGGATCAGTAGTCCGAGGCAGGCATGGCTGATTAACCGAAGGTTTGGCAGCTCGAATGAGGTGTAGTAAGTTCAATTGTGACATTCTAGGAAACTGAGATCCCACTGAATTAAGTTATACATAGTTTCTGTGTATTTTTCGGGTTTGTACCATTGGTACAAACCACCCGGCACCCATTGTGACTCGAGTTGGCCAAGCGATGTGATGGAGTTGCTGCAAACGTGTGTGCGATGTCGGAGTCTGTATATTTACGATGGAGGACCACCGTTCTATGTTATGGTTGAGATAACCGTGTCTGGGGCTGGACTGATAGACCTGGGAGCCGCCATCGACTGTAAGTAGGAGACGGGAGATAATTTTGAGTCGATATTTTCGTGCATTTGTAAGACAAGATAGAAGTTCGAGTTAGTATGGTATTTACACCAATTTATCAGTTTATTTTTCCTGATAATGGTGAAACAATAATGTAGTCATAATGCATCGGCATGGAAGACTGCCGTTTTAAACAGGAAATACCTCTGGACTCCTTCTTCATCCTTCATCTCTTGGTGGCAGAGCCCTGTTTTTAGCTTACGTCACAGAAATAGAATGGCGAGTCCTTACGCCGAAAACGGACAAAATTGAATAAAACACTACATTTCAAATCGGATCAATCAACGGCCGGATATTCCAAGGTCCTCTTCTAGCACCGGCACGCGTGCACGTAAATGGCCTGAAGGTTACCGTTAAAAATCCGGCATCTGATGGATTCGCAGAACAAAAGTCCATCACCTGGCCCACCGGGCTGGCGTCACTCACTGGCGGATCCAGAAAAAGTGGTCCGGGAAGCTGCGGGGGCATACTCCCCAAAAAGGCTCTACGATTTCCAAGAACCCCTCGGATTTTGCTTCCGTATGCCTGGCTTTGCACTGCAGTTGAAAGCGAACTAATCGTAATGAAAGCTGTAAACGTAATGAAAAGCTGTTAAGTTTTATTCTAAAGGGAGGAAAACGGCGAAATTTCGTCAATTTCTGACGGTGCTAGATCGGCAAGTGTCCCAAACGCTCCACGTCCCCCATCCTCGATCCGCCAGTGGCGTCACGACGACAGACGCGGAACTGACCGACGGGTGCCTCTTGATCGGCGAAACAGACCCTCATTGAAAATACATAGCCCTTCTGTCATGACGTCTCCTTGAATAGTCTAGCAGCAAGTGCGCATTCAGTGGGAACTGCCACGTGCCTATCTTCATTTGATGACGTTTGTCGATGGTCTGTTTGGTCGTGTCTATATAGGTGAAGCACGTGGCGCGATGCTAAAGGAATGAAGGCCAATTATTCGTGGAACGCAGTGAGTTAGCCAAGGGTGGCTACACACATGCTCGGTCTCACGCCGACCTTGACAGTAGCGTTGATATTATTTTATGTTCGTATGTAAAATGCTTGCTTTCAATTTTATTTATTTTAATCCTTCCCTAGTGGCTTGCGCAGTCAGTGTTTCCCTCTCCCCAATAAATTCGATCTGTCCGTGTTGCTAAAAATGTCATTTTTGTATTTTGTCGCCCGATGCACCCTGCAGAATGGCCACGTGAGTTAGGTCACTCATCCCCCCCAAGCCTTAAGATGTGCTTTTCTTGGGTAATCCCTCGGTATTTTGAGCAGTAGAACCAGCAGTTCGTCGTCGTTTCAACTCAAGCAAAAAGAACCTCTTAAACTTCAATGAACATCATCGCACTCAGAATCGGGGAAGGGCGTTGCACCGGTCCGTATCGCGCCATGCGTACTTTTGTTTTCACTGAACTCACGTCTGGTGCCTGGGCGATGGACGTCGTTTCGTGCGGGACGCGGGTGTCCTCGCGCGCGACACCCGGCCCCTGTCGCGTGCCCCTGTCCAGAGGCCCCACGGCCGAGGACGAAACGGCCGCGTGTGCGGCGCCGATTTTCGTGTGGTGTTACACTTGTGTCGCCACACTGGGCGGCCACTGTGTCTCACCGGGTCCCCAGGTCGATGTGAGCCTTGACACTGCAGTGCACGTGCACGGGAAGTCCGAATGGGTGGCGAGACTTGGCGGTTCTCGACCTTTTGGCGTCCACGTGCAGAGGCCGGTGGCCCGAGGGCTAATTGCCACGCTAGGCGCGGGTCAAGTTCATTGGCGCACATGATTGTCGTTCGCCCTGCCCGGGCCATGGACTGGGGAGTAACGGCTGGCCGGTGGTAGTTGGACGTGAGCTTAACTCGCTTATGAGAAGGTTTTTGGTGTGGTTGAAACGACTTATAGCGTACTTGAAGGTTTGCAAGGTTCATTTAGAAATTACATGTGTTCCTTATGGGATACTATTTTAGATGTGTTGCTGAGCAAGGCTCACAAAGTGCCGTGAAATTATTTGCTTTTGCTCCACTCGTGCGGAAAATAATAATGGTATGGATAGTTTCCCATGTACTCCGATCCACATTGAAACAATGTCTTATTTTTATAAATGGACGCCCATCACATATTGTAAAAAGCGACCACCAATGGTTAAACTGCGTCTGACGGTCATATCATTTAGTCATACCCGATAAAGAAAAGTGACGACGCTTCTTTTAATCATTTGCTTACCCTACACCGTTTAACAATTTGCTGCGTTGTTAATCTCAGATCACAGTCGCAATGATATTCAATTGTATCCACCATCTATAAACCTTAACCCGCAGCGTGTGCGCTTTGGAGTTAGCACGTTCTTGTATTTGCATTGTGCATTTTACATAATGCAAGCTCATCACTCACGTCTACATCTACAATCTACACACAGCTTCTCTGTTTGTAGATGTTGTAACACATTCCTCACGCTTTTCTGTTGATGTATTGTTTATAATATGTTGTAACACGTTCTCACAGTGGCTGCAGCACAGCGATTGCTTCTCTGATTGATCTAAACTCCTTTGGACCTGAGGTGATTAACCACCCCTGGCGTCACGTTCCTCACCCAGCTAAATATCTGCCTCTCATCCCCCACACTTGGCCAGACAACCGATACTGAGTGACCCGCTGGTGTAAAAATTTAGCGTGCTGAGTTACGTCCTCAGTGCCGTGAATGTGTGGACCGTTTGGTGTGCGGGGGTCAGTGGAAATGTCTGGACATCACCAGACAGCGAGGGTTCTGCACCGCCCGCTGCTTCTGCCAAATAAATCATCGCCGAAAATTACCTGCAGTAATGGCCCCTCGTCAGGCTCGCTTTTCCGGGGGATTTCTTTCGTACCGCTGAGTTCACCATATGCGTACTTGGATGTGAAGTTAGTGGATGGAGGGACCTTTTTGACAGCCTCATTAAGTGACATCTTCCGCCCACGGTCTTGATGAGAGTTTGGGGGTATTTTTTCGTTAAGCCCCCGAGTGCTGACCAGGGCCCGTTGCGGGAACACCTCCTCGAGGCGGGTGTTCCCGCGGGATATATTTTACTGGCCGCTCCCTGCTGGAACCTGACCATCTTCAGGGGGTGAGCCGCCTCCAGCCATGCTCATCAGTGCCCTCTGTCGTTTCAGAGTCGGACATGGGTGGCTGGAAGCTGGAGATTTTCAAGATGGGCATGTACATGACGTTCCCGGTCGGCCTTTTTTGGTACTTCAACCAGCCAGAGTACTTTGAGAAGTGGGTCATTCAGACCAAGCAGCAGCTATATCCTCCGGCCAACAGGGACCACAGAAACGTGAGGCTGCGCTTCTC